AAGGCTGTGCAATGGGACACACTTCTGATAATTTAAATGAATCTCGTTTCACAGAACAAGACTTTCTCTAAATACAGGCTGTTGTTATCGTTTACATATTTGCTAACAAAATAAATTATGAACTAAAAAAGAAGGGCATGTGTTTAATTTATATAGATTAAGGCAGTTTTGTTCCAAGAGGGTTCGGATAGAAATGAGATTCCATTCAGTTTTATATCAGGTAGACCAGAAAACATCTGACATGTGCTGACCTGTTTTGCCGTCAAACTTACCTTGTAAAAGCAAATTAATTTGTTGTTACTTGTTTTCCCTAAAAACATATCTTGTAGTATTCTTAGCTTCAGTGGAAGATATGTTATACTTTCTGTGTATCAAAAACTCTTCTATTTTCCTTACCAAAAAATACTGTTAGTGCTTCTTTGACATAACCATAGTAAATCATATTTTAAATTTACTGTTTACTCTGCTTAATTTCTTTGTTGACATAATTGCTATCTCTTTACTCTTGCTCAGATACATTTTATAACCCAGCCAGAAATAAGGGAAACCTTTTTTGTCTTAACTATTTCCCTAGCTTTCTAGCTAAGATTTGAAACTGAAAAATTGAAAACTAAAAGAGAGAAAAGATTGTTTTGGAAGATAATGTTTTTCAGCCACAGAAAACTGGAGAGTGAAGATGAGTTAAGTTTGGAACTACAGAGGTCTTCTGATTGAATACTCTTATTTAATTTTTTTTTTCAATGAACAAGTATTTGTTTTCTCGTCTCTTCCCACCACATATAGTCCCATTGGGAGGTACAGGGTTTCCAACAAATCACATAGACAAACAAAACAATAGCGATGTCTAAAAATGTGCATCTCATTTTGTGTCTTTAGTCCATCACATCTCTGTCAGGAATTGGGTAGTTTTCCTCATCATTGCTCCTCTGGAGTCTTGGTTCATCATTACATTTGTGAGAGTTCTTAAAAATCTTTCAAAGCCACTTGTCTTTACCATTCTGTTAATTGCATAAATTGTGTTTCCTGGTTCTGCTCATTTCAGTCTTTGTCAGTTCATACTGGTTTCTCTGAAACTCTCTCTTTCATCATTTTTTTTAAATAGTGTTTTATTTTTTCCCAGTTACACATAAAGATACTTTTCAGTATTTGTTTTTTATGAAATTTTGAGTTCCAAATATTTTGTCCTTCCCTCCCTCTCAACTCTGCTCCCCAATAAGTAACCCATCTGATATAGGTGATGTGGATGCAATCATGTAAACATATTTCCACATTAATCATGTGGTGAAAGAAGAATCGAAACAAAAGGGAAAAACCACAATGAAAGTGAAAGAGTATGCTTCGATCTGCGTTCAGACTCCATGGTTCTTTCTCTGAATGTGGATAGCATTTTTCATCCTGAGTCTTTTGGAATTGTCTTGGATCATTTTATTGCTGAGAAGAGCTAAACTGATCATAGCTGATCATCGCACAATGTTGCTGTTACCAAGTACAACGTTTTCCTGGTTCTGCTCACTTCACTCAGCATCAGTTCATGTAAGTCCAGGTTTTTCTGAAACCCACCTGCTCATCATTTCTTATAGCACAACAGTATTCCATTCCATTCACATACCAAAACTTGTTCAGCCATTCCCCAATTGATGGGCATCCCCTCAATTTCTAATTCTTTGCCACCACAAAAAGAGCTGCTGTGAATATTTTTGTACATGTGGGTCCTTTTCCCTTTTTACTATCTCTTTGGGACACAGACCTAGTAGTGCTATTGCTGGATCAAAGGGTATACACAGTTTGATTGCTCTTTGGGCGTAGTTCCAAATTGCTCTCCAAAATGGTTGGATCAGTTCACAATTCCACCAACAATGCATTAGTGTTCCAGTTTTCCTACATCTTCTCCAACATTTATCATTTTCCTGTTTTGTCGTGTTAGCCAATCTGATAGGTATCATGTGGTACCTCAGAGTTGTTTTGATTTGTATTTCTCTAATCAATAGTGATTTAGAGCATTTTTTCATATGAGTATAGATAGCTTTAATTTCTTCCTCTGAAAACTCCCTGTTCATATCCTTTAACCATTTATCAACTGGAGAATGACTTGTATTCTTATAAATTTGCCTTAGTTCTCTATATATTTTAGAAATGAGACCTTTATCAGAGACACTGTAAAAATTCTTTCCCAGTTTTCTGCTTCCCTCCTAATCTTGGTTACAGTGGCTTTTTGAGTTTTCATTTTGCGATCACTTTCAGGAAGGAATCGGTGGATCTTTTCAATGACTCTTTTACCCTCTGGTTGATAATTTCTTGAAAGATGCTGTCCAGGCTCTTTTTTTTGACCATGGCTTTCAGGTAGTCCAGTAATTCTTAAATTATCTCTCTTGGATCTATATTCTAGGTCAGTTGTTTTTTCCAAGGAAGTATTTTATATTTTCTTATATTTCTTCATTCTCATGATTCTGTTTGACTCATTCTTGATGTCTCATAGAATCATTAGCTTCTTCTTGCCCAATTCTAATTTTTAAGAAATTAGAATTTTCTTCAGTTAGCTTTTGTACTTCCTTTTCCATTTGGCCAATTCTACTTTTAAAGGAATTGTTTTCTTTGGTGGATTTCTTTTTTCCTATTTGGCCAATCCTATTTTTTTAAGGAGTTGTTTTCTTCAGTCAGTTTTTGTGCTTTCTTTTCCAAGCTATTGATTCTTTTTTCATAATTCTCCTGCATAACTCTCATTTCTTTCCCCAGTTTTTCTTCTGCCTCTCTTACTTGATTTTTAAAATCCTTTTTGAGCTCTTCCAGAGGTCTTTTTGGTCTTGAGACCAATTCGTATTCTCCTTTGAGGCTTAGCATGCAGGCATTTTGACATCGTTGTCTTTTTCTGAGTTTGTGTTTGAATCTTTCCTGTCACCATAGTAGCTCTCTAGATCAGGGCTCTTTTGTCTTTTTTGCTCATTTTTAAAAGTTGAGCTCTGCTTCTGGGGTACATGGGGCACCAAGTTTCTTGCACTGGGGGCCAGGGGCCTGGTCACTGGCTTTCTGCACTGGGGGCTTCTGGGGATAATGGCTTGCCCACAGCCTTGTTGTGGCTGTTGTGCCCTGGATTCTGGGGCTGGCAGTTTGCCTACTGTGCTGGGGATGGAGGCCTCACAGTTGGCCGGCTGTACCACTGGCCTGCTGAGCCAGGACCACAGGACCTTGGGTGCTGATCTGTGCTGTGTCCAGTAGCCTCCCTGCTGGCTTGTCCGGACACCACCTATGCTGGGCTCTCTCCATAATTCTTTTAGAGGCTTAATTTAACATTTCCAGGGGAAAACAGGGAGAGCTCAGGCTACTTCCTGACTTCTCTCTGCCATCTTGGCTTCACCCCCCATCCCACACCCTCTCCTTTCATCATTTCTTATTGCACAGTAGTATTGCATTACATTCAGGAGTGTGCTGGAGACAGCTTTGAATTGCTTCCAAGAGCTCATTATTTTACAAGTCAGAAATGAGCAAATGCTGCAAATCAGGGCTTGATTCATTGTTTTGTTGCTTATCTAGACTTAAGGTGATAAAGTGTTAATAATACAGATTAAATTTAAAAGTATGTCATGCACAGCTTTTTTTCCCCTAAAGAGCCAATTGTTAAACATTTACCAACACACCCCTGATTACACTAATATATCATAATTTGTTCCACCATTCCCCAATTGGAAGATACCACCTTCATTTTTAGTTCTTTACCAGTACAAAAAGAACTGCTATAAATATTTTTATACATAGGAGTCCTTTTCTTTTTTCATTGCTCTCGTGCTTAGCAATGGCTTAGCTGGGTCAAAGGGTTTACACCTAGTCTGATCACTTTCTGGGCCTTGTTCCAAATCACTTTTTAAATCTAAGTCACCGTACCATCAATACTTCCTCAGTGTTCTTGTTTTCGAGAAGTCCTAACAACAGTTGCCGTTTTTCTTTTTTGTCAACTTTGCCAGTCTGATGAGTGTGAGGTGAAACCTCACTGTTGTTTAAATTTTAATTTCTCTGATTAATGATTTGGAATATATTTTTATATGGTTATTGATAGTTTGAGTTTTTATTTTTAAAAACTGCATCTTTTGACCTTTTATTAATTAGGGAATGACTCTTAGTGCTTTTAAACTCACAGTTTAAGAAGTGCTGAAGGGGTCATGAGTGGAAAAAGTTTAAGAAGTTGTGGACTCTTACATATTTAAATCATACATACATACATACATACATACATACACACCCATGAAATGAGACTCTTATTAGAGTAGCTTCCTGCAAAGATATTTTCCCAGTGAAATGTTTCCCTTCTAATCATAGCTTCATTGGTTTTGTTTGTGCAAGAACTTTCTTCCTTGTTCCTCTAATTTGTTTGTGGATTTGCCCTTTTCTAGCTAAGTCTTATATCCATTTGGAGTTCTTCAACCTCAGTTTTTGTTTTTTGTTTTTTAAACAGATGATGAAACAGGCCCAAAGAGGTTAGGTGCAGTATCACCCAGTAATAAGAAATAGATCTGGGGTTCAAACTCAGGTTCTGTAATTCCCAAGTTAAAGCGTTCTTCCCACTCTACAACACTGTTTTAGTTCCTCCTGATGAAAAAATTTCTGTGTGGCTTCCTAAGTGTAAGATACTGTGGATTTCCAGAGAATCAGACAGAAAACATTTCAAAGGACAGACAGCAAAATGTAGTGGAAAGAGCCTCACTAGAAAGCCAGAGACCAGATTCTGGTTGCAGCTCTGCTTCCGTTTCCTCGTGAGACCTTGGAAAGGTAACTGATTACTGATAATCACATTTATAGAGAGATTTAAAGATTGTAAAGTCACTTTATACTCTGCATGTCCATTTTCTCAACTGTAAAATAAAATTGAGTGAGACTATATAGTTTCTAAATCCACAGGTGTAACTTTTTTTTTTCACTCTTGCACTTCAAATTGATTATTATAAAGGATGTGGTAAAGGTGAGCAACAGACATTTCAAAAAGAAACCAGAGATCTCAAGTACAATACACATTTTTTAAATAAGTCTTAGTTCAAATAGATTTATTATCAGTTATTAACATTTAATTATAAAAGGCATGGTAAATAGAATTAACAGTCAGCAAACATTTATTAAGTGCCTACCTTGTGCCAGGCTCTATGCTAACTGTCGTAGATACAGAAATAGGTAAAAGACAGTCCCCACCCTCAAGGAGCTTATAGTCTGTTGGAAAATAAACCTAATTAGAGTCTTCCATTATATGGTACCCAGTGCATGAATGTACAAAGGTTTCTGCAGCCATAAACTTCATATAATTTTTTTTTTGGTTAAGGAAGAGAAGGCTCCTATCAAAACTCTCCCTGGGTTGGACTTTTTGTTCTATTTACCCTGAGGTATTGGGTTTCTGTTGTGACACCAAGTGGTAGGAAAGCAAATAATTTAAAACTCAGTTTAAATTTTTAGATCTTTAAAAATATTCAGAAATGCATTTCCCTTCCTGAATTAGAAATCTTTTGTGGTTCAGACATTTTTAAGGATGATATTATCCCATATTCTCTTTTGATTAAAGTTACTTAGAAATAGTTTACCTTGGGTAATAATGCTTTATCAAAATGGCCAATATGATAGACAATATAATCAAAAGTGGCACCAAGATGAGAACAAGAGAAACACTCCGTTGACGTGTGCCAGCCTCCTCCACATGTTGCTTATCTGTGAAAGACATCAATTCTTAGCCACCGTTTCTCATGATATGGTGATATCATTCATTCTTGTTTTATTGAAGCAATATTTGTTGTACATACCTATATCTCCGTCACGATTTGGATTTGCTGTGGGGATGAGAGAAGAAATGTAAACAGGTGATTATAATCAGAATGACTGACATTTCCATTGTTTTATAAGCTAACTCACTTCACAGATGTTTGCCTAATACACATTGCACATATTCTTCTATGAGTCAATAAAAAGACAGCAGGCAAGAAAGAATTATTGGGGCAGAGATTTGTCTCCTTTGTACTAGACCTAGAGCAGGTAGAATATCTTCATTTTCCCCATTAGCTAATAGTATAGCTTGACAGTTATTCCTAACATTTAGAAAAATATGGCATTTCTCACTGAAAGTTAAGATTCTTTTTTATAAACACTAGATTCTTAGAATGGAATGCCTTAAAGTGACTTGAGGATTGCCTAAAATTAGGGAAATGATAGTTTCATGAATAGAACAGAATGGTATATTGAGAAGAGAGAAAGACTTGAAGTCAGAAGAGCACTAAGTTCAAATCCTGCCTCTGAAGCCTATTTATTAGGTAGCTTTGAGCAAGGTACTTCTCTGCATCTCAGTCTGCAAAATTATACCTGTAACACCTACATCGTGTAGCATCTTATGGTCATCATAAAGATCATTAGATAGCTGTAAAGCACAAATTGGCTGTGTGAATGTTGTTTAGTCATTTCAGTTGTGTCTAACCCTTTGTGACCCCGTTTGGGGTTTTCTTGGCAAAGATACTAGAGTGGTTTGCTGTTTCCTTCTCCAGCTCATTTTAGGGATGAGGAAGCTGAGGCAAACAGGATTAAGTGATTTGCTCAGGGTAAGTATCTGAGGGCAGATTTGAACTCAGGAGGATGAGTCTTCCTAACTCCAGGCCTGCCACTCTACCTACCGCACCACCTACCTGTCGTGAATAGCTGATATGAATGTCAGCTTTTAATTGGAATTTAATGGCAAGACTAGATTGGAGTCTGTAAGCCATAAATGGTTGGGAATATTAATGGATTTTAAATCAATATGCAAAATAGCATATAAATTGACATTTTTTTTTGAGTAAATTATTGTAAAGCTCAGGTATGTGACAAGCTGGACATATAAGTACAAAGCCAGACAGTCCTTGCCGTCAAAAAATTTTACAGTACAAAAGGGAATGGCGGCCAGGGCATTATGTAAGGTTTGGGAAGTCACAAAGATGTCTAATGAAACAGTAGGGTTAACATGTTCTTTCTGTTGACAATGGCAATCCTGATTTCTATTTCATGGAGCAAGAGGTGGAGAGGACACGAGGGGAGGAGAAGGACTTTGGAAAGGTGCTGGCATAGCTGAAAATAGCTAGGCTGAAAATGAGACTGCATGGTGCCCAGGAGTGCAGAGCAGAATAATAGCTCCTCCTGACCCTTTGGAATTATAGAGCAAGACTGATGTCAGCTTAGTATCCCAAAGGGTGAAAGAAAAGTGCCTCAGCACCTGCAAAATGACTGATATAAGTCCTACTACCTCTATACCTCAGACCATCTCCAAATAGGAAGTTGAATGAAAACAATCACCTGAATATTTGGAAAGAAGTCTAGTTTCCCCATAATTACATAATTATCTTTATCCTTGGCTTATTGCACAAAAGAGGCTGGGTTCTATTTCTGAGCAGTGAATGGCACTCTTGCAGACAACCAACATCCTGTTCCCAAGGCTCCTCCGTAATCCTAAGCAGTCTGTGGTTCACGCTGGGGTTATAGAGTTGTGAAGGTTATTCAGTGGCAGTAGAACATGATTTCCAAAATCTTCTAAAAAGATAGTTTCAAGAAGGAGTTCCTGCTTTTGATTGTGGGATAGGAAAAATGTGAAGATGCATACAAGGAAAAATTGAGGCAATATGACAATGAGAAGAGGAAAAAGCTATAATTTCTTTGGGTCTGGGAAAGATTCAGAATCACAAATTATGAGGCAGAAGGGACCTTAGGAGATAGAAACTGTATTTTACAGATGAAGAAGCAGCGCTAGAGAGCTGGTGATATACATATGGTCACAGCAAGAAGCTAATGATAGAGTCAGCATTAGGGTATGTGGGAGCCTGCTCTAACTAGCTGATGAGTGATGGTTGTTAAATTTTCACATCTATCTATCTATCTTTATATCTATCTACCAAATGTGAGCATTTATACCTTGGGAATTAGCAAACTTGATATATTGTTTTATTGATCATCTGGACTTAAGAAAATGTTAATAATGTAGATTAATTAGGAAAGCTGGTTATTTTATCCGGAACACCACTGATTACAGTCTAGGTCTCCTGACTTCTAGTCCGTGACTCTTTCCACTGTACCATATAAGAGCATGATTTCCAGCCACTGCTTCTGAGATATGCTGCCTCCACTCCAGTCATTGTTCTCATCTTCCCTCCTCTAAGCACCCCTTCATCAGAATCTTGGACTTTTCCCTCAGGACACAGGACTCAGTGTTGAGTTTTGCCCCCTTGCCTGGAGCCAAACCTTCCATGTCACTTTGTGGCTACTGCTTCAAAACCATGGTGGACAACCACCAAATTCTTCCCCCAATAGAATGTGGATGATTCACTCATTCCCTCTCACCTCCCTTCACTTCTCCTCCACTGTAAAAAGTTTTTTCTTGTCTGTTTTAAGTGAGATAATTTGACCCATTCTACCTCTCCCTTTCTCCTCCCAATACATTCCTCTCTCACCCCTTAATTTTCTGTTTTAGATGTCATCCTTTTTTCTTCAACTCACCCTGTGCCCTCGATCTATCTATCGCTCTATCTGTCTATCTATCTGCCTGTCTATCTATATCTATAGATATTTCCCCCTCTAACTACCCTAATGCTGACAAAGGTCTCATGAGTTACAAATATCATCCTTCCATGTAGGAATGTAAACAGCTTAATTTTAATAAGTCCCTTATGATTTCTCTTTCCTGTTTACCTTTTCATGCTTCTCTTGAGTCTTGTATTTGAAAGTCAATTTTTCTATTTAGCTCTCAAGAATGTATTCTCAAGAATACATTAAATTCTTCTATGTCACTGAATGTCAATTTTTTCCCTTCATTGATTACACTCAGTTTTGCTGGGTAGGTGATTCTTGGTTTTAATCCTAGTTCCTTTGACCTCAGGAATATCGTATTCCAAGCCCTCTAATCCCTTAATGTAGAGGCTGCTGAATCTTGTGTTATCCTGATTGTATTTCCACATTACTTGAATTGTTTCTTTCTGGCTGCTTGCAGTGTTTTCTCTCCTTGACCTGAGAACTCTAGAATTTGGTCGTAATATTCCTAGGACTTTTCCTTTTGGTATGTATTTCAGGAGGTGATTGGTGGATTCTTTCAATTTCTATTTTACCCTCTGGTTCTAGAATATCAGGGCAGTTTTCCTTAATTTCTTGAAAGATGATGTCTAGGCTCTTTTTTTGATCATGACTTTCAGGTAGTCCAATAATTTTTAAGTTATCTCTCCTGGATCTGTTTTCTAGGTCAGTTTTTTCCAATGAGATATTTCACATTGTCTTTTTTTTTTTATTCTTCTGGTTTTGTTTTATAATTTCTTGATTTCTCATAGAGTCATTAGCTTCCATTTACTCCATTTTAATTTTTAAGGAATTCTTTTCCTCAGTGAGCTTTAGGACCTCCTTTTCCATTTGGCCAATTTTGCTTTTGAAGGTGTTCTTCTCCTCATTGGGTTTTTGGACCTCTTTTGCCATTTGGGTTAGGCTATTTTTTAAGTGTTATTTTCTTCAGTATTTTTTGGGGTCTCTTTTAGCAAGCTGTTGACTTGTTTTTCATGATTTTCTTGCATCACTCATTTCTCTTCCCATTTTTTCCTCTGCTTCTCTTACTTCTCAAAATCCTTTTTGAGCTCTTCCAAGGCCTGGGACCAATTCATATTTTTCCTGGAGGCTTTGGACGTAGGAGCTTTGATTTTGTTGTGTTGTTCAGAATGTATGTTTTGATCTCCCTTGTCACCGAAGTAAGATTCTATGGTCTGACTTTTTTGTGATGTTTGCTCACGTTCCCTGCCAATTACTTGATTTTTAAACTCTTTGTTAAGGGCTCTGGGGGTAGCTCAGTGGCACAGTGGATAGAGCACTGGCCCTGAAGTCAGGAGTAACTGAGTTCAAATCCAGCCTCAGACCAAATGCTTGACACTTACTAGCTGTGTGACCTTGGGCAAGTCACTTAACCTCAATTGCCAAAAAAAAAAAAAGGGCTCTGCTGCTTCCAGTGTGGGGGGTGTACTGTCCCAAGCTTCAGGGGTTTTGTGCATCTGTTTTCAGAGATACTTCTAGGGACCTATAAATTTCCAGTTCTTTTAAGGTGGTATGATCAAAGGTGAGGTGTTTACTCCCTTCCTGGCCTGTGCTCTGATCTATGAGTGACCACAAGCACTCTTTTCTGCCTTGGAACTGTGAGGAGAATTTACTCTTCACCACCACTCCACCATGCCAGTGCTCCTCCTCACCCCAGGACTGCCACCCAGGTCCAAGCATGGGCAAAGCAAGAGAATCCTGCCTCAGCACCAGCAAAGAGATCCCTGCAATCCCCCTCTGATCAGCCACTCAATCTCCCACAGTCTGTGGGCCAAGAGCTCCAGAAGTAGCCACCACCACCGCCACCCAGGGCTGCACCAGGACTGGGACCTGGACTGTGCTCCTCTCTCACCGAGGTCTGACAGACCTTTCCTACTGACTTTCTAAGTTGTCTTTGGCATTTGTGGGTTGAGAAGCCTAGAATCACTACAGCTGCTAGTGATTCAGTCCCCTGAGGCCTGCCCTGGGTTCGCTGAGGTCTGGTCTTTACCTGCATAGCCCATACTGAACTGTGCTCCTCTCCCAACCTGTTGCAGTAGACCTTTCCCATCAACCATCCAGGTTGTCTTGGGCTGGAAATTTGTTTCACTTTGTCTTTTTGTGGGTTCTGCTACTCTAGAATTTGTTTAGAGCCATTTTTGCAGGTATTTGGAGGGGTGTGGGGGAGACCTCAAGCAAGTCATTGCTTTTACTCTGCCATCTTGGCTCTACTACCCCCTGTGGAGTTTTAGAACTTTGCTGGAATGTCTGTGGCAGAGCCAGGCAACTCTAGGGATACCATCTTAACCAGAAGTATCAAACCATTATCTACTTATATGTTGGTATTTCAGATATTAATTAGGGGATTATGTCCAGGTCACTTTCTTCATCTGAAGACATGCACATAACATAGTGCTTCTTTATAGAAAAAAAAATCTTGGCCATGATGCCCAATTGATTAGAAGAAGATGGTGATACTGGGACCGAGACTGCAGGCTCCATTCCCATCTTAACTACTTCCTTTACTCATAGAAGAATTCTCTGCCATGATCACCGACTGACTACTGTGAACCTCAGCTGACCATTACAGAAATGCAGGCTGTGGGTTCAAGAGGAACTACTAGGGAAGAGTGTGATTAATTGTGCAAACATCACTGATAAGAAAGAAAGAAAGAAAGAAAGAAAGAAAGAAAGAAAGAAAGAAAGAAAGAAAGAAAGAAAGAAAGAAAGAAAGAAAGAGAAGAAAGGAAGGAAGGAAGGAAGGAAGGAAGGAAGGAAGGAAGGAAGGAAGAGGAAGGAAGGAAAGAAAGAAAGAAAAGAAAAAGAAAAGAATGTGCCCTCCTCACACTGTCCTATCATGTGAGAAATGGTACATTTCTTAAGAGGAAATAGGGAAGATGAAGAGAATATGCTGTATATAAGAAACAGGTATCTAACTACATGAGGAGTGAAGAAGTTTAGGAAATGCAAAATAGGAAGAAATTGTACAGAGAGTTTTAGAATTAACTTTTAGCTAACGTTGGGTACTAAAGCAAAAGAGTTATACTTAATTTTTAAAGCCAACAGTTTGTCAGGGATGTGCTCAGACAGTCTGTGGATCCCCTTCCTTCTCTTCCTTCCTCTCTCCCTCCCCCCCTTCCCCTGCCTCCTCTCTCTCTCTCTCTCTTCTCTCTCTCTCTCTCTCTCTCTCTCTCTCTCTCTCTCTCTCTCTCTCTCTCTCTCCCTCTCCCTCTCTCTCCCTGCCTCCCTCCCTCCCTTCCTTCTTTCCTTTTTTCTCCACCACCACCATCATCATCATCATCAATAAGAGTAGTTTTATCTAGTAATGGTGCATATATTCATGACAATATGCTACATAAGTTTATGGTTATTTTTTATTGCTCCCTTTCCTGCTATACTGGGGCAGCTAGGTAGCCCAGTGGATAGAGCACTGGGCCTGACGTTCCGAATAGCTAAGGATATTGACTGACCACACAGCTGGTTTATACACGTATCCTCTTTGCAGGCACTGCAGGGTTTTCCCTCTTCATATGGTCGCATGTAAACATAATTTCCTCTGTGAAGTAGAAGAACAGTGTTCATTAATTGATACATATGGTTTCAAAAGACTATGAGCCCCTGAGCTAATTCAAAAGGATGAAAGGCCTGGAGTGTAGAAGGTAAGCCGGGCAGGGATCAGTGGCTCCTGGAAGAATAGGGCATATTCACTTCCAGGCCAAGCATCACTAGGTCAGCCAGTCTCAACACTGAACCATCCTTATGGTCCAGGCTCATTTACTTTGTTATGGCAAACTCTTCTTGATCCTACCAAATAGAAAGCTTCTACCAAATGCAAATGGCTCATGAGATAGGAACATCTGGGCCTATTCTCTTTGCCTCCAAACATATTGTCCTAAAATAAGAAGTTTATTTTTTGTTTTTCATTTTTTCGTTTTAATCAGCTTGCCAGAACTCCTAAGTCTAAATGAATGTTATTCCCTTCCATGTATTCACCTTGGGACACCATATACTTTTTATTATGCTGTCATGGCTCAAACCAGTTTGGGTTTCTTCTGGAAATATCGTCAGAACAAATTCATGAGTCACAAAAGGAAAATCAGTGTACACTCTCAATTATCCATCCAGTAGTTTCACTAGGCAGATACTTAGCCGTCCTTACACTTTAGGGGGGCTTCAAAAGTTAGTGAAACTGAAGCAGCTAATTTTAGTTCTTTTCCTCCTCAGTGGACCAGATAATTTTTCCTTTTATGGTCCAGGTGTATAAGGGGAGGAATGTGGACACCAAAGTAGAAGTCCCCCCTTCTGTCCTTTCTCTGACTTACTTAACTGGGAGACAAAAGTCAGACAGTGAACTTAAATCCAATTCATGCTAGAAGTCATCACCCCATGATGTCATTGGTCCTCTTCAAAAACAAAGGGCAAAGACCGACAACAAAAATTGGGAGAAGGATGCTTGACTGTCCCGTGCTAAAGGATCAGGGTTAAGTGTGGGGCAAAGGCACTTCCTAACATTCACAGGAATGAAGACTGGAGAGAGGATGGTGGGGAAGCATAGAGAGATGATGTTGCTTTTGTTTTCTGCCATGAAATTCATCTGATATAAATCAGTACTCAGAGAAGACTTCCTCTCACAAATAGTGCCAACTAACCCATCAAAAGCACGATTGATCACAAACAGGAAGTGAGAACTAAGTGTCATCACTGTCTGGTCAGTTTCTGTAGGGATGGTTTGTTTTCCACAGAAAGGAATCAGATCTAATTTTATTGTATTCAAATCACTGGGAGTTGGGCCAGTTTAATTTATCAAAATGACCCAAACAAATGCTATCCAGGGCAGAGGACCTGGGTTGAAAGAGGCCCTGTCACTTAGTATCCTGTGTGGTTTTGAGTGAGTCACAATATCCTGTACCTTTTTTTCCCTGAAGTGTAAAACAAGTACAGAAGACTAGATGACTTTGTAGCTTCCTCCTATCTCTATATCTCTGACACTCGAGGGGCTCAGTGAAGGTCATTAAGTGTAAGACTTTCTAAGTTCAAAATCCACCCCCACATGATCAAGTCTGAGCCTCACCTTTTTTTTTTAATCTGTAATGTAGGGTTCACTTTTCATTTCATTAATCCAAAAAGCATGAGTGAAGTATCTGCCACGTGCCAGGCATTGGGAATACAAGGTAATATACAAGGTCCCTACCCTCAAAGAAGAGAAAGGGGGGAAGAGAGGAAGCATTTATTAAGCATCCATAAGTGCCAGGCACAATGCATTAAGCATTTTACAAATATTATCTCATTTGATCCTCACAGCAACTCTGGGGAGTAGCTGCTATTATCCCCATTTTATAGTGAGGAAATTGAGGCAAAAAAAGGTTTAGCAATTTGCCTAAAAGGGCATCCAACCCTTTTAAAAGGTGAGGAATTGCCACCCTTCATGATGGCCAAGCAGGACTGCATCAGATTCTGGGAGCAACTTAAAAGAAAGTTCCCCCAATAGCTTGAACAATGGAAGTACCATCGAAACAATCATATAACTGCCCTAAAGGGACACGGCTTTCCAGGGGACAATATTCATTTATTTTTATTTTATTATTTAAATACTTATAATTTTTAAAAAATCAACCACATTGTATTATAACAACATTCCATACTTTGTCTTTCCTTAATTGTGAGATTTAATTAAGACTTAGACCTATAGATTATACTTTGTCTCTCACTTTGCATATACCTATGTGCCAAAGACCTATGATTAAATTGATGTGGGAATTCCCAGACTGGATACTCCATCCAGTAACTCAGAAAACTACATGAGTCTCAAAGATGTTAAGTGACTCAGTTTCCTCACTTGTAGAAAGAGAGAAGGTTGGATTTAATATGCTCTAAGGTCCTTTGAGTTCTAAATCTATGATGCTATGATTCACCCATAATCTAATCCCGCAGAGGTGGGCAGCCTGCAGCCTCAAGACCACATGTGGCCCTCTAGGTCCTCAACTGTGGCCCTTTGACTTAACGAATTTGTTCTGTGAAGTCTGGATTCAATCAAAGGGCTGTGCTAGAGGACCTAGAGGGCCACATATGGCCTTGAGGCTGCAGGTTCCCCACCCCTGAATTCCAATGAATGTGAGATATGATTCATTAGAACCCCTACCTTATTTCAGTCAGCGTTAATCAGTTTGATATTTTACATAGATCATATAAGGATAATTAGATAAGACAGGGTATCTTCTATTGGACCTTTATAATCAGCCTCAGACTTTAACGTAATGTTCACTACTTGTTCACCAGCTATGATGTTCACTTACACAACAAGAATGCAGACAAAGATATCTCCATCCTGCTTTGCTCAAGTTCCATGTCTAAACCCTGCATGGGTGGGATGCTTTGATTCTTTGGATTTTTGTGCCTCTGGGCCACTCTCTGTTGTCCAGCATGACCGAGTGACCATCTCATGACCATCTTCTGACTGGTTAGTCAGTGGTCATAAGTGCTTTGCCCAACCCAAGACCTCCCTGCAATATACCATTTTTTAGCTAATACATCATTTTTGGTCCTCAGGAGCAAGATCTATCAATCAATGAGATTCTGCATTTTACCATGCCTCTTTTGCATATTTGGGCATCAAATCATATGAAAACACAATCCTGGGGACCATGAGCATCTTAGATCATGAGAAAGATTGTGGGTCCACTTCATTAGAGGGAATCATGGACCCTTGAGATTCTGCCTCAGTTTCTTTTATTGTAGGTTGAACAATTTTAAACTCCCTGTAAGTGTGTCAGAGGAAGAACGTGAAACCATGGTTTTCCAGTGCTTCACAGAACATCCTATAAACTGTACCACACACCTTCTTTTATTGTAACTTTGAAGAGAAACAAAGTGAATTATAATTAGGTACACACACCAACTAAATTATTTTATGATTAAAACTTTGGTCATGAACTTCTAATTGTGTGTGTGTGTGTGTGTGTGTGTGTGTGTGTGTGTGTGTGTTTCTCCATACAAAGGCAGGGATAGCTCTTTATTCAAGGTCTGCCACTTGTACTGTCAGCATTATTTCAAGACAGACATATAGATTTCTTTTAACTCACTTTCAGGGATCAAAATAAATGACTTTCAGACAGATTAACAGAAGAACTTACGCTGGTCCATAGTTACACACAAAAAGTGCTCCGTTGCTAATGGGAGTCCCTGTAAGTTTTGGGCAAAATTGAACTGCACAGCCAACCTTGTAACTATTTGCCCAAACAACCTGAAAGAAAATAAGGGCTTTGATTCAAAAAGGTTATAGCAGGGAATATTCCATCAGGAAGACATGATCTTGAATCCTACCTCTGACTACCCACATGACACTAAATATATCATTTAACCGCTGTTTTTGTCTCATTTTTCTCACTTGTAAACTAGTGATAATAATAACACCTGCCTCCCAGGATTGTTGTCAGGGTCAAGGGAGATAACATATGCAAAATGCTTTGCAAACTTTAATCACTATATAAAATGCTAACTATCATTATTATGAGTCTAATTGGACCCTCTTAAGAAGAGTTTTGTATGCCTGAGTATTCTCTGGAGCCTGACAACCACCTAAGCTCTTTTATGATGAAGTTAAACTACATTTAGATTATTTATTTTACATTTGGTATTTCTTGTCCACAAATCTCAAGTGTGCTTTGTCCAAGTTGCTGAAGCAGCCTTTCCATTGTTGGTAGGTACAGAATTGGGTAGGGCAGTATACTTCATGTTTCAGATATAACTCTTTCTTCTTCCCCATATACTTATGATCTCATTCACCACCACCTCCTTTTAAAATTCTAGAACTGTTTTTTTTTTCTGTTAGCAGAAGGAAAAGAGGCTAGTAGATAAATGTGAAGAAATGACGTGGAGAAGAGGCAAGACTGTGACCTCTTTGGCTGTGATGAGATCTGTGATGGAATATGGCCCAAGTGGTAGCCTGTATATCTTGAACCCATGTTGATTCTCCCATCCTCCACCCTCTTAGACTCATCTGTGGTATCTATGAAAAGGAAATATGAAAAACTTGGGCACTGACCACCTAGAGAGTAGCACTAATGCCAGTTGGTGACGAGAGAGGAATGCTGCTGATGCCACCTCTCTAATTCATCATCCTATACCCCTCCTTTTTTTGGGACCCATCCTAAGAGTTTCTTCTCCCCTCTACTTTCCCAGACCATGTTATTTGAGAAACATATTGAGGAAGGGGCAACACCATTCCTTAATATCCAGTGATTTGCTATGCCCTGTGGGCTCTAGTCTACCATATTTCTCACATTCATCTCTCCATTCACAGGTAGGTGTCCAGGATAATTGCAATAGCTTGCTAATTAGTATCCCTGCCTCCAGTCTCTCTTTCTCTGTCTCTCTCTGTCTCCCCTTTCTCTTCTCTCTGCCTCTGCCTCTCTCTCTCTGTCTCTTCTGCCTCTCCTTTCTCTCTTTCTCTTCTCTCTGCCTCTTTGTTTGTCTCTCTCTTTGTCTCTCTCTCTTTCCTCTCTGTGTGTGTCTCTGCCTCTCTGTCTATCTCTCCTCTCTCTCTCTCTCTCTCTCTCTCTCTCTCTCTCTCTCTTCTCTGCCTGTCTGTCTGTCTTCGTCTCTCTCTGTCTCTCTCTCTGTCTCTCTGTCTCTCCTTCTCTCTCTCTCTTTCTTCTCTCTGCCTCTGTCTCTCTCTGTCTGTGCCTCTCTGTCTCTCCTTCTCTCTCTCTCTCTGTCTTTGTCTCTCTCTCTGTCTTTGTCTCTCTCTCTCTCTCTCTCTCTCTCTCTCTCTCTCTTTCTCTTCTCTCTGCCTCTGCCTCTCTCTCTCTGTCTCTGCTTCTCTTTCTGTCTCTCCTCTCTCTTTCTCTTCTCTCTGCCTCTGCCTCTCTGTCTCTCTCTGTCTCTGTCTCTCTGTCTGTCTCTCTCTCTCTCTTCTCTGCCTCTGCCTCTCTGTCTGTCTGTCTTTGTGTGTGTGTCTCTCTCCTCTCTCTCTGTGTCTCTCTGTCTGCCTCTCTGTTTTTGTCTCTCCCTCTCTTTCTCTTTCTCTCTCTCTCTCTCTCTCTGTCTCTGTCTCTGCTTCTCTTTCTGTCTCTCCTTCTGTCTCTCTTTCTCTTCTCTCTGCCTCTGCCTCTCTGTCTCTCCTTCTCTCTCTCTTCTCTGCCTCTCTGTTTGTCTGTCTATGTCTCTCTCTCTGTCCTCTCTCTCTGTCCTCTCTCTCTCTCTCTTCTCTCTCTCTCTCTCTCTCTCTCTATATATATATATATATATATATATAGATATATATATCTATATATATCTACATTACCATTATTATTACTATATATTTATTATATCCTATATATATTACTAAAGATCTGTATAAATCAGTTATTACTGTATATCTATATACATTACTATTATATTATTACTATTATCTATATACATTATATACGTCATGTGAGGTGACTCTAACAGGCATTATTTAACACATTTCAAAGAAAGGTTAAATAATCTACCCATGGTCACTCATTCAATAAATGTTCTTGTTCAATAAAAACCAATGGCATCTGTGAAAACCAGACTCGCTGCATCTTTTGAACACTGACTCCATTTTGTGAAAGACCTCCATTTAGTTGTTTTCCTGTAAATCACCTGATCTGAGGGAATTCCATTCACTTGCTTTCCACTCCTACCCCTCAACTTGAAAAGTCCCTGAGCTTTCTTCCAATAAGAAGTCTGATTACCTAATCCTACATCCTGTTTTGTATCCTGTTTATTGTTTTCTTTCAATATGTAAAAATCTGTGCAAAATCTGTCTTCAAAATCTTTGTTCCTACTGAGGGGCCCCACACCCAGTTTATTATGCTTGCTCTGCTAATAGATCTCATAGCTTGGACTTTGTTTCCTCAGTTATTATGAATCCACTTATGACACTCCCTATTATCCCAAGGATTAAAAAACATACTTCTCTATCCAGCACTTCAAGCACTTCATAACCAGGCTCCTCTAGCTTTATAGAATTATCATATATAATTCCCCTTTATGCATTCTATAGTCTAGCCAAACTATCCTTTGCTGTTCTCCATACATGACATTCTATCTCCTCTTTTCTCACTTTGCCATAGGCTCTGCCCCATGTATGTAATAAACTTCTCCTCTCTTCTACCTCTAAGATTCCCTAGTTTCCATCACAACTCAGCTCTAGGACCTCCTTGTATGTGATACCTTTCCTGATCTCTGCAGCTGCTAGCCCTTTGGCACCCCACCTTCTAACCTCTTAATTTTTATTTTTATATGCTTACCCATGTACATTTTGTCTCCCTAATAGAATATCAGCTTCTTGAGGGCAGGGGTGGTTTCTTTACTGCCTTTGTATCCCTATCGCCTAGCAAGTGCCTAGTATACATAATGGACAACAAATATTTGTTGATACATTATTTGGGGTCATTACAAATCAAATGAAAAAATTACCTGAGTGTAATGGCCACACACATGAGTACATTTCTGAGTCTGGAAGTTATAGTTTTTGACCTCATCATTCCACATCTTGATGGCAGATTCTTCAGAAAATGCCCCAATTGAGCCTACCCAGATATTCTCTCCCACCGAAGAAAAGGTAGGGTGCAACTTCTTGGGATTTGTCAAGTCAACATTATGTGCAAACTGGCACTTTTTTGCCCAGGCTTTAGCAGTCTTGGCCAATTCTGTGTCCCAGCTCTATAAAAGAAAAGAGAGGTTAGTGAATTATAAGCCCAAGGAATCTGTCACTCATGGATTTGTTGAGGAAATGGAGAACAAGAATTTGATGGGGAGACTTGGGTTAATGGAAGCATGGGATAGGCCTGCCACTCCTTGGGACATGTTCTGTGTGGAAGAGTGGTTTGTAGTGTATATGGGCATTGTTTTGTTTTTGTTCACATAGGTTGTATGTGCCCACATGAGTCTGTTTAGATAGGGCCCATGGGGAGCCAAGAACAGATATTTCTAGCATCTCTTCCTCTCATTCTTCTCCAAGGGAATTTTTGATTCCTGCCAGGAGGAAAAGCAGGATGTTGGGGCCAGAGCTTGGTCACTCTTCTGCTTTCCTCAGAGACAAGGGGTACCAGGTTAGATTTATGTCTATCTGATCATCTCTTAAATATTGTAAGTCTAGGAAAAGTAATTTTTAGCTTCAAGCTGTGTTTCTGATCACTATCTCTTAATAAAGAGGTGCCCAAGCTGCATATCTAAGACTTGACTTCTTTCCCACAGGATACCAATTCCACAGTGAATACATATAGGAAATAGCAAATAAACCCATCTATCCAAGTTGATAGCAACACAGAAATCAGAGCAGGTACATACACAAGAATACATGACCAATATTACATATTCAATAAGCTCTCCCTGTGGAAGTGAAAAAACTCAGCTCAACCAAGAGAAAGAGTCTAAGATCTTACCCTAGAGGAAAGATCTCACCCAAAGTTTCCAGTTTAGTAAACTAGAGATAGGGACATGATACAGACTGACAGCTTCTCTACACATCAGCTTCTTCCCAGAGTCATTCTCCCTCTAGAGTCCTGTAGGAAGGTTGGAATGGCATACCTTCTCTATTAACACCGGAAACCAGAAGAGCATGAATCTCTTCTCTCTCCATCTCTCACCTACTCTGCCTATCCCTAACACAGGCATGGGGCATTGTCAGTCACCAACAATGAGGACAGAGTCCTGTGCAAATGGTCCTTTGAGCAAGAGTTACATACACGAACATTGTCAAATAGTTATCATCAAATAGCTCTGATAAGCATGTGATATCCAAGAGGTATAGGAAATGAGTAGTAATGTATAAGATCAGAAACCGTTCCCCGTCCAATAAATGGCCAAAGGATATGAATCGACAATTCTCAAAAGAAAATAAAATACAGTCTATTAACAATCATATGCAAGCAAAATGCATCAAGTTAGTAATAGTAATTTTTAAAAATAGAAATAAAAGCAAGTTCTCTTAAAATCTAGAAAATTGGTAAAGATGACCAAAGATTAGAAATAATCAGTAATGGAAGGGTTGTGGAAATATGGATGCATTAATGCATTATTGGAGCTATAATTTGGTCCAAACATTGAGAAAAGCAATGTGGAATCGTGTGGGAGCAAAAAAAAAATGACTAAACATTCATGTGTCTTGACCCTGAGATTCCACAGCTAGACACATAATCCAAGGAGGTAAATGATAAATTGAAAGGCCCTTTATGAACCAAAATATTTATAATAGCACTTTTCTGTAGTAGTAAAAATCTAGAAACAAAGTGGATGCCCATTGATCAGGAATGGCTAAGTAAAGATGGTTAGGAATAGCTAAATAAATAAATGATGGAATAGTATTGTTTTATAAGAAATATGAAATCTGGAGCAACTAGGTGGTTCAGTGGATAGAGCTCCAGCCTTGGAGGCAGAAGGACCAGAGTTCATAATCCAGCCTCAGACACTTGACACTTACTAGCTGTGAGACCCTGGGCAAGTCACTTAAACCCAATTGCTCACCAAAAAATAAAATATTTTTTTTTAAAAAAAGGAATCTAAGGATTACAGGGAAGACATGAACTGAAACAAAGTGAAGTTAGCAGAAACAGGAATGTAATTATATGACAATATACACAATATCTACAGCAGTGTAACTGGAAAAAATAACAGTTGAATATGAATGTCAATGAACTATAAAGACGAAGGTGAGCCCTAAAGAAAATATATAAGGTACATCCCCCTTTTCTTTGCAGAGCTTGGCATCTATGGTTATGGAGCACTGTATATCATAGAATTTTTTTATGTGTTGATTAGTTTTGCTGATTCTGTGTGTGTGTGTGTGTGTGTGTGTGTGTGTGTGTGTGTGTGTGTTTTAAGGGATGTCTAGGGAAGGAAGAGGATGCCAAAAACACTGGAAAATGTAAATGATGTGAAAGCAAAATATATCAATAAAATTTCATTTTAGGAAAAAAAAGAAGAAACATTGCAAATGAGTTTTCTTTGGTCTTTTGGAAAAAAAATTTGTCCCTAGTGTCACAGAGCTAATAGTTTACAACTTAAAGGACAGATAGTATAATACACACAGAAAATATCAACTCAATTACAGTGAAAAACCTACAAACAAGAAGTTATACAATTAAAAAAAACCCTATGAACAACAACACTGAGCAAAGAGAAGAAAATTCTAAGAGTAATGAAACATTGTTCTTGGAGCCTTGATGCCAGGGTCATTCCCAGTTGCCACTGGGAAGTTTGTCAGGCAGCTGCAAGAAGACCTGAGATGGAATCCTGCCTCAGACACTTGCTAACTAAACAGCCCTGGGCAAATCATTTAACATCTATGAACCTTAGTTTCTTTATTTATCAAATGAGGTTAATAATACTGCCTAATAATAGCTATGAAAAGTACTTTGCAAACCTTAAAATGTTATGTAAATGGTAACTTCCCTTCTCTCCCACCCCCACCCAAAAAGCTCAGTCTTGCAAAATTATTCTCCATGTTAAGCCATAACAACTTAGTGAAATCTAGTTACCAGGGATCTGCCACAGAACCAAGAACGTCTATTCCTTTTGTATGTGCCATGGATTATGATTGTCTCCTTACCATACGCAGCATGTTACTGGCTTTGGGATTCACTTGTGACCGAAACTTGTTATGAATGTCGAGACATTCTTTGATGAAAGCTTCATTTTCGATGTTTGGCAGAGTGTCCATTTTATATGCCCAACTGCAGACAGAAAAAACTGAAAATATAATTATTCCAAGCCAGGAGTCCATGGCCATCCAACTCCTGTATCCAATAAACTTTGTAAGAATGAGGCATCAGACCTTTACTGATGTTTGCAGGGTGTGTCCTGTCTTCAATTGTGAGGCAACAGAAAGCAGCAAGCATAGCATTAGCAAAAGGGAAGTCTGAGGATATTGGTTTGTGGTAAATGAGGTTACTTCTCTACATAGTGTAACAGGATACAGTTGTTTGTTTGTTTTTTGCTTTTAACACTGTGACATTTAAAACGTTAGAGAGACATAATTTCTGGGTGATTAGTCATTTTAGCTATTATTTAGCGTTATTAGCTAGCATTTTAATAAAAGAGGTCAGTGGAATTCCTGAATGCCAAAGACCCTGATGGCAGTGGGCTCAAGGTTTATATAGCCTTGGAAAAGTGGGTGATTCAGAGGGTGACAATCAACTCTGGTGACAAGTAATGAGAAAGAATGAATATTACAATGAAGGGCTGGACCTAGTCTAATGAATTTTGATTATGTCATTTACTTCTATATTACCCACAGCCTTGGGCAATCTAATCAAAGACTTTCTCCCCATCTAAATCTGAGTAGAACACCATGAGATTAAATTCCTTGTAAAGTTGGGTGGGGTCTTATTGTACCAAGAAATCAGCGAGCGAGACCCAGACGTAATTTAAAATGTGGATTTATTAGCTTGTGACTGCAAGGGGTATGCACACCCAAATCAAGCGGCCCTGATCAGGGGTTGAGCTAGGGTTTATATGGAAAAGAGCATGGGAAAGAAATGCCAGGAACACTGATGAGGTAATCCAAAGGTGCAGGTGTCTTTGGGGGCTATGGATGGGAAAGTACAGGGAGTATACTGGACAGGGAGGAGAATGGATCTTTGGAGTCTGGCAGGAGGAAGAGTCCTTGGGCTGACCAAGGACACCCCTCTCCCTCTGTCTTGATGAGAGAATGCTCTGCAGCAAGGGAAAGCTTTCTCACAACACAGGAACTTACTAAGGAATTGGGAGGCTTCCAGAGACATGATCTGAGGGCTGGGGCCTGAGCAGCCCAGCTCTGTGTAGCTGTAACAGGGAGAGAGATAAGGGTCATGCTGAGGCCCATGCATGAATAACTGCTAGGCACAGTGTCCTTGGGCTGGGGAATGGTTGTTAGAGACAGTGTTTCTGAGACTAGGGAGAAACTGGGGCACAAGTACAAGCACAAGCACCCGAGCACCCCATCATTACAGGTCAGAGATCACACAAACCAGACCAGGTGTCCTGGTCTCTGGTATAAACATAATTATCTAAAGCAATTATATTGCAAGCTTTCTTATCCATTTGCATTGGAGGTATGGGCTATGCTGAGCTATGTAAGAGTACATTTCACTATTGTTTAGATTTTAGGAGAAAAGAGATCTGGGGCAAGATTAAGCAGTAATTTTTGCTTTCCATGACTTAAAGGGCCCTACTACCTAAATGGTAAAATAATGTTCTGCATTACAGTCTGATCAAGATTGAGGAGAGTTAATTCAGTCTCATTATCAGTAATGTCCTTTAAGAGATTGAAATTTGAAAAAAAAATGTTTATCAGTAATGTCCTTTAAGAGATTGAACTTTGAAAAAAATGTTTTTAATTTAAAAAAAGAGACTGAACTTTGAAATGAGGACTATAGGAAAAGGGGAAACTCCAGATCTCCCAAATCATGGTTATTAACAATCATTTCAACATTCTGTTTTCAGTAGTTCCTTGTAAAGAAACCTCTTCCGTAAAGTAGATAGTATTCTGAGTCATGCTCTGCAGTTTAGTAGCTTATATTAGGATTACAAGATTAAAAAAATGGGGGGGCATCATTTCCCCATCTGAAAAATGAGAGGATTGATTGAGATGACTTCCAAGGTAAATAAATCTCTGATCCTACAATCCTGGGTCAAACTTGGTTTATAGTTTTTGAGCTCTCTTAATAAAACCCCAGAAATATCCAAATCTTTATCTCCATCCCCATCGCCACTTCCAGGTCCTCCTTCTAACAACACCAGCAGTAACTTTTTCTCCTTCAAGGGTCATTCAAGCCCTATGTGTCATCCATTCAAGATTCTGGTAGTAGTGTTGTACAGAGAAATCAGCGAGTGAGACCCAGACATGATTCGAAATGTGGATTTATTAGCACGCGGCTGCAAAGGGTATGCACACCCAAATCAAGCAGGCCGAATCAGGGGCAAAGCTTGAGTTTATAGAGGCAGAGGCCACAGAGGAAATGGTCAGGGGTTGCGTAAGCTGGAAGTTACAGAAGCCAAACCCCAAATACAAGGGGAGACAGGCTTTTATGCACAAGACAGAAAATGGACTAGACCCACAATTGAGTAGAAAGGGAACTGAGCTAGCTCTCATACTGAGTCACAAAATAGAGTCATTATGGTTCACTCAGTTCCCATTACCACTGGCTATTCTAATTCGCTTGCTATCTCAACTCCTTGGAGAACAGATTGAACTGCATACTGTCATTGTTCATGCCTTGGCAAGCTCTAACTCTGGATCACTTACCTTTTTCACTTCTGACCCTGCCACCAACCACTCTGCCCCTCTCCTCACACCTAGACCACTGCCATTGCCTGGAGGGGTTGCTCTCGCTGCCTCAATTCTCTCCCTACTCCATACATTCTCTGCTCATGTTCAAATGAATCATCCAGGGAGTGGCTAGGTGGCACAGTGGATAGAGCACCGGCCTGGGAGTCAGGAGGACCTGAGTTCAAATCCGGTCTCAGACACATAACACTCTCTAGCTGTGTGACTCTGGGCAAGTCACTTAACCTCAATTGCCTCACCAAAATAAATAAATAAGTAAAAATAAAAGAATATCAAATTAATCATCCAAAAATGCAGATTTGACTATATCATTACCTCCCATTCAATAAGCTTCCATGGCTTCCTATTACCTCCAGAATCAAATATAAAATCCTCTCTTTGACATTTATAACCTGGCCTTCCTCCCACCTTTCTAGTCTTCTTAGCACTCCCTTCACAGTCTGTGATGCAATGACAATGGTCCCCTTACTGTTTCTTGCACAAAATATTCCATCTCCTGACCTTGTGCATTTCATTAGTTGTCCACCATACCTGGAATTATTTCCTTTGTCATCTATGCTTCTTGGCTTCCCTGGTTTTCTTCAAGTCTCAGATGAAATTCCACATTCTACCAGAAATCTTTCCTGATGCCCCTTAATACTTGTGCCTTTCTTCTGCTGATTATCTTCAACTTATCTTGTATATTGCTTGTTGGTAAATTGTTGTTTGCATGTTATCTCCCCCATTTGAGTGTGAGCTCCTTAAGAATAGGGACAGTCTTTTGCCTTTTTTTGTATCTCTGGCACTTATCTCCTGGTGCACTTTTTGCCTGCCACGGTCTGCCTGTGTCCATATTCACATACTATTGAATTGTTGGAAACAGCTAGAGAAAATCACAAAAGTGTGTTGACTGGGTCCACTATATTTGTGTATATTATATAATCTCAATCAGACTCTCACTGCAGCAAGATAATCCTTTTATACCACACTAATCAATTTGCTATCCTCACTCCTAAGAGCAGCTTGTCAAAACCTTTTCAGTCTTCCTCAAACCTCCCATAGCTCCTTCTCTTTACCCCCTTCCCTCTCAGCTGAGAATCTTTCTTCATACTTTATTGAAAAAAAGTGATGTAATTTATGTAGAGATTCCGATCTTCCTCTCATTATCTTACATTACTCAGATGTCTTTCTTCCTTTTCTCCTCCTTCAGATGCATCTCACATGAAGAATTGGCTCTTTACTCTCTCCATATGTACAAGTCATCTTCTTCCATCCAATCTTCTCTAGCACATTATCTCTTATCATCTCTGCCTTCTCACTTATCTTCAATCTTTCCTTGTCTACTTACTGTTTCCTTACTGCCTAAGAAACAGGCCCACATCTCACACATACTAAAAAACGCCACACTGGATCTATCATCTTTGATAGCTATTGTCCTATATCTCCTCCTTTTGTGGATAAACCCCTTAGGAGAGTCAACTATACTTTTCTCCTGCACATACTCTCCTTTCTGGGTTTTTGAAACACTACATTTTCAAAATAAGCATTCATTTATTAAATACCTAGTATTTTTGAGACATTGTGCCAGACACTGGGGATAAAAATTCAAAAACAAAATAGTCTTTGCCTCCATGAAGCATACATTCTATTAGGGAAAACAACGTACATACACACACACACACACACGTGTGTGTGTGTGTGTGTGTAAAACAAATAGATACAAATAAATACAAGGTAAGTTCAATGGGGATAGCACTAGTTGCTGGGAGCTGAGGCAGGGATAATCATGATTCCTTTAACTAGGAGACATTGAAGTTTCCTAGTGTTTATTTAAATTATTATTATTATTTTATTGTTTAAAATAAATGTTTATTTAATTGAATTTATATGAATTTTTATTAGTTTTTTTACTGCCTCTAAGGCTTATTTTTTTAAAATTATTTTATTGTAAAATAATGTTATCAACAGACACAATCATTTCAAAACACACAGGAGAATGGGAAAGAGAATTATATACAAAATAACTACTGTTTTAAACTTCTGTTATATACAGATAATTTCTTTCATATGCTTATTTTAAAAAAGAAATATATATGAAGTTTAACAAAGTAACAAAATTGCCCTATTTGCATCCCCTTCTGTATTTTTTTCCTTTATACATTAAAAAATGTTTTATTGAAGCTCTTTTTCTATGTCCTTTGATATTCATTAGCTCATCTGCTTTCCTACTCTGAGGAGAAACCCTCTTTAATAATAAATAAGTCTAGTCAAGGCAAACAAAATGATTCATTTTGAATATCAGTAATTGAATTAAAAAGGAAATGCACCTCCTCCCCCTCCTTCCTCTATAGGGAGAGAGATTTACCTAATATCTTTAAAAGACTTCTTAACTCTTCTTTTTGACTCTATCCATCTGCAGTGCATCTAGTGGGGGTGACTCTTTACACTGTAATTCCAACTGGTATTTATGTCATATACAACACATGTATGTGTGTGTATATATGTATGTGTGTGTATATATATATGTATATATGTATGTATGTATAGGTATATGTGTATATTATATATATAATATATGTATGTG